CACCTTCATCTTTTACCTAGTGTGGTAAGAGAAAAAAAAAATTCAAGTCAATCAGAGTTCTGTTTATTCTGTGCAGTGCACATTCCCTGCCTATTTCTTTCATTAAAGATTTTCCTTTTAATTAAAATAGAAAATACTCTACAGTTTTGCCATTGTGAATACTTTGATCCTCATGCATTGTCTAGGGTTGCCAACTTTCCTGACTGAACCTGAACCTTTTTGGAAGTCTTAGACAGTATGTAGAACACAGAATGAAAACCACTACCATAATCCAGCACTATTTTGTTCTCAAAGCACCATGTTTTATACAGATCAGTTTCAGCAACAGTTATCATGGCCAAAAGCTCAGCACCTACATCAGTATCTTATTTTTCTGAAGCAAAATGCAGGACTATGTAGCACTTTAAAGACTAACAAGATGGTTTATTAGATGATGAGCTTTCATGGGCCAGACCCACTTCCTCAGATCAAATAGTGGAAGAAAATAGTCACAACCATATATACCAAAGGATACAATTTAAAAAAATGAACACATATGAAAAGGACAAATCACATTTCAGAACAGAAGGGGGATGCGGGGAGGGGGAGGGGGGGAAGGCAGGTAGGTTATTCTTCTGGACAGCTGAACACCCAGCATTTGTTTATTATTATCCTTACTTTTTTGTGGTCTATGTTTTCAGCTCCATGTACTAGACTGTTATTAGGGCAGTCTTCCTGGGGCGGTCGTGGTGCATTTCGACCCCCAGGTCTGGTGGTTGTTTTTTGGGGTTTTTTTTTTGTTTTGTTTTTTTAAACAAAAAAATCCTTGGTGTTCCCCATAAAAAAAAAAAAAAAAAAAAACTATTGTTTGGTGTCCCTCGGTCTTAAAAAGTTTAAGAAACACTGGACTACATGCATACCCCCCACCAGTACATTTTTAGTAGGCTGGCCAGCAACTTGTGCCAGGTCTGGTACACATCCCCACTCTAGTTCTACATTTAAAATGTTATTAGGAGCCGGGCAGGCAAGCAGCCCAGCTTGGTTCTGGGTTGCACCAGGTTTGGGATCTCAGACGCCACCCTGCACAGGGGTTGCTGCCACCCTGCACTGCTGCCTCTTTATTAGAGGCAGCAGTGTGGGGTGATAATTGGCCAGTCCATGAGTGAAACTGGTTTTTAAACTGGCTCCCCTTGTGGACCAGTTCCAGCCTGGCACCCCGGGCTGCTGCCTCTGATAAAGAGGCAGCAAAGAGGAGTGGCAAGGGGCTCCTTGGGAGTGGAGATGGAATGCACTGGCTGCCGGCCCCTACAGAATAGTCAAGTAACCAATAAGAATTCATGAGATTAGTCAGCTATTCAAATAACTGATATTTAACATCCCTAATGAAGATGCCTAATTTCAGGAACAGACACACAAAATATATGCACAAAATTTTCAAGCAACTGAGCAGCATCGACTTCCATTGAAGTCAAGTTGTCAGCAATCTGATACGTTTTTAGCTTCTCTATCACCCAAGTAAAATGAAGATAACACTATTACCATATCTCACTAGAGATTCATTAACATTTCTGAAAAGCTTTTTGTCTTAGATGGAAAGTATTACAGAAATGCTAAATATAAGACACACACGAAGCGGATGAGGTAATGTCTTTTACTGGATCAAATTCTGTTAGTGAAAAAGACACGTTCTTAGTCTACACAAAGCTCTTTCTACAAGTCAAGGTATTACCTAATCTACCTTGTCTCTGACATACCTGGGACCAATGCGGCTACAAACACTGAAAACAAAGCATAAAGGCAGACCTAGGACTCACTTCTTTGAATCTAATGCCAATATGTTTAGCCTTACATTAGAAATGTAAGCGATAAGGCTAGGCTTATCGTGTAGTTGAGTTGATTACTCCCCCCCCCTCCGCTGCCTTTGTACTAGAAGCAGCAAGGGGGAGGGCAGGGAAGAAGCAGGAGCCAGTGCTGGGGGGAGCTGGCTTAAAAGCCAGTTCTCCCCAGCACTGTCTCCATAGTGCTGCTGCTCCTCTGCCCATTGTGCTGCAGACTATCAGCCTCGCTACTACTACATTTAAACTGCAGAGCTGCAGCAGGGATAGGCCCCAGACCCGATGAGAGCTGGGACTGAGCAAGTCCAGCTCAATCCTGGCTTCCATGGGTCTGGAACCTACCCCGCTGCGGCTCTGAATTTTAATTGTAGCAAGAGCCAGGCCAGCTCTTACTACATTTAAAATGCAGAGTTGCAGTGGGGTCGGTTCCAGACCCATGGAAGCCGGGACTGAGTGCCTTCCCTTATCAACTAATCGTCTACTTGATACAAATTGTATCGACTACACTATTTGCCAATTACCCGCCTCTTAACATCCTTATTTTACATGCATACCACATAGACAACTGCTGTTAGATCATCCGTTTCATACAAAAACAATATAAATAAAACATCTTACCATTTCCTCACCCAAACAGATACACAACTTCACTTAAAAGGACACCAACATTTTAAGTGATATTTTAATAATTTCTTTATTTCTGGTACTAGCTTCTTTGCTCTCCACACAAGCTCCAATTTCCTCTACCACATATAGAATCAACAGGAATTCTATTTCCCGTCTAATTTCCTATTTCCCTTCCACAGACTGGCTGATTAAACTTCTGGAAACCCAAATCTGTGAACATATTTTAGAGGCTGTGGCACAAGGAAGGTGCACTCAGATAAGAGTCTCTGTGATAGATGAAGATGCCTGTATAGACAACTTCATAGAAAGGAAGGAAAGCTGAAACCATAAACAGAGGCTGATGACACTCTTAAATAAATAAGGTAACCCTGAAATTATAAAACATCAATAAAAAAATCTCAATTTAATCTATTAACAGCTACAGGTTGGACCTCCTGGTCTGGCACCCTCGGGACCTGCTTGCCCCCAGCCACTGGGGATTTTCTCCAGGCTGGTCACACTCCAAATCACAGCAGGACTCCCTGCCCCGGCTGAAGAGGTTTTTCTCCAGGCTGATCTTACTCTATCTGCGGAGGCAGGACTCCCTGCCCCCAGCCTGCCACTGGCCTGCTGGATGGGCTCCCTGCCCCAAGGCTACTGGCTCTACAGGTGGCCAGCCATGGGCAAACTCTGTGGCTGGGGCTCACTGGCCCTGCAACATTGGACCACAGACATTGCAGGATCAGAGAGTTGAGGACCACAGAGGTTCAACGGTGGAGTAAGCTGCTAAGCCTATTCATCACATAAGCATTGGTACGTTATTAATTTTGTCATCTGAAAAATGCTTGCTGCTATAATCATAGCAGAAGGAAGACATGCTCACTTGTACAGGTGGATCTCTGGAATCAACATAAACCTCTTTCAGTAAGGTAAGAAGTTTGTCATCTTTTCTGCGGATTTCCTCTTGGAGGTCTGAATAGTCTAAGAAAAAAGATTTAAAGCAGAAAATCATTTACTTGCACACATATTCTTGTTGGCTTATACCCATAAGACATCACACAACTCAAGTGAAAATTAATGCATGTGAAGACAGTGTAAATACTTTCAGGGAAATCAGATTTCCATGTTATTTCTAATATTCACAATACTTAATCCCTCATACACAAGGAAAAGAGAATTTATTATGCCTATTCAAGAGGAAAAGAGTAGCAATTTTAAGCAATTAGGCCAGGTCTAGAATAGGCCAGGTCTAGAGGTAGCAAGGGGGGCAGGGAGAGGAAGGGGTGTTTCAAACCTGCAGCGCCATGTGGAGCCCATGGCAAGACCCTGGGCTCCATGCGGTGCTGCCGTCTTGAAATTCTGCATGCAGTCCACGGCCAGCTGGGGAGTCCCCAGCTGGCCCAGGTTGCACGTGCCATTTCAAAATGGCAGCACCACATAAAGTCCAGAGTCTGCTACTTTGCAACGCTGCGTGGAGCCCAGGGTTGCAAATGGCATTTTGAAGTGTCAGCACTGTGTGGAGCCTGGGGTCAGCTGGGAATTCCCAAACTGACCTCAGGCTCCATGCAGCACTGCTGCTTTGAAATGCTGCAGGGAGCACGGGGCCAGGGCGGGGGGACTGCTTGAGTCCCCCACAGATCCCATGCGCTCTGCAGCACTTTCACCTTTGAAATGTAGCAACAGCCCTGGAGGCTGTTGCTACACTTCAAAGGCAGAGGCACCCTTATTGATTCGCTGAATAGTCAATGCAAATTGCATCAACTATTCAATTAGCCAATTAAATTTAACATCCCTACCACAGAGCCACCTGCCACCCCCTATCCTCCCATGCTGCTGCCTCTCAAAGAGACAGAGACAAATTTCATACCCTGCAAGATATAATTAGGTCAACCTAACTAACATCCAGTGTAGACACAGCTGGGAATTATCCTAATGACCTATCTATCTACCACCTTGTGGAGAGGTGGATAACTTTAGTGACTCTTCCCTTAACGTTATCCTGGTTAACATTGTTCCATTGCTTACTGATTAGAGCACATGCTCGGTTAGAGATGTTAAAATGTGCTTAAATAACCATGTAACCCTCCTCGCCTGGGGAGGGAAGGCTGGTGGGTTCAAGTCCCAACCTGTTCCATGCATGGGGCAGTCGGCTCCGCAGGAGCTGGGGGACAGACTGGCTTCCTCACAGAGTCACACAACCCACAAGTAAACCAGGCTGAGACGCGAGGACCCCACCCGCCAGCCTATGCCCTGGATCAGCAGCGTCCAGCCAAACAACAAGGCTGAAGGTAGCAGCGGGCAGGA